TCATTGGGGCTGGCAACCAACTGTTCGTTTATGACAAGGATATCGATGTTGGAGACCGCCTAGTGTCTGAACTTCGGATGCCATCTCGAGGGTTGTCATCTGTCGATCTCTTCGACGTTGTCAGCCGGCTGAATGGCCCGCTGCCTGTATTCCATCCACAATACTTGGCACAGTGCATACTAGCTGGGAAGACCAGCTTGGTACATTCAATCCTGTTGAACCTACATAGCAAGTTGAAGTTCTACACTGAGGGCGATGAGCTAGATGGTTTCCTGGATATGCCGGTAGAATATCTCTACGAGCAAGATGTAAGTGCGCATTATATCATTTCTCTTCCTGGTACTAATAAATATAGGCCCAACAAGAGGTCTCCAAGGAAATCCGCTCTTCCTACGTTGATTCCACTGATGAGGAACTGTTATATGTCGTAGATGAAAAGGCTGCGGCCGCGCTCAATGAGAGTTTAGCACGGATTGCCTTGCCGCAATTGTCTAGCCATGAACAATTCCGCTTAGCAGATACCATTGAATGTGTTGCTATGGTTGAGAAGCACCGGCGCTCAATGGATGATAACGCAGCACGCTATCTCTTATTCTTCCGGCAGCATATGCTGCGGCGGACCCAAGGAGTCGCCAACAAAGACACTGTCTCATGGCGAGAGATTGTTTGGGCTTACCATAGCAGCAGCCAAGATATTCTCACCGATCTTGTCTCCCGACAATTCAATGGAAAATTGACTTGGAAGGCTGCTCGTGAAAGTGGTCTCTTCATGTGGCTGTCGGATCCCGTAGCTGTGGTGCGTATTCATCATATCATCTCCTTGATCAGAAACTAACCAGCTGATTAGAAAGTACAACTCGAAATCCTCGCCCGATGTGAATACACAAAGACAGAAGAGAAAAACCCCATCGACTGTAGTTTGTATTACCTCGCTCTCAGAAAAAAGAACGTCCTCCAGGGTCTCTGGCGTATTGCACACTGGAACCGCGAACAAGCAGCGACCCAACGTTTATTGGCAAACGACTTCAAGGAACCGCGATGGAGGACAACTGCGCTCAAGAATGCCTACGCATTGCTTGGAAAGCGACGATTTGGTAATTCCAACCTCATGTTGCCTAGGAATGAGGACCGCTAGCTAACGCTAAACAGAATATGCTGCATCTTTCTTCCTTCTCGCCGATCATCTGCGTGACGCTGCAAACGTCATCATAAACCAGATGGGCGATCTTCAGCTTGCAATCGCAATCACTCGAGCCTCAGAAGGGGACAACGGACCAGTTCTTCGGGAGATTCTGGAAGAAAAAGTATTACCTGAGGCTGCTTCTGAGGGCAACCGCTGGATGGCCTCTTGGGCTTTCTGGATGCTTGGACGACGTGATATGGCAGTGCGGGCACTGATTGTGGGTACTTTTCTCCTCTGACCCTCAAACCCCAACTAATCAGATATAGTCGCCGGTCGAGACCCTCCTATCACCATCGACCCCAGCCACCCCGGGAAGCCCAGGACGAGGAACCCTCCAGTCCAAGTCATATCTTTCCAACGACCCTGCTTTGGTAGTTTTATACCACCAACTCCGCGCAAAGACACTCCAAACCCTCAAAGGCGCCTCCAAAGTGAAACCAAGAGAAGAATGGGAATTCGTTGTCCGCAACGCCCGACTCTATGACCGTATGGGCTGCGATTTCCTTGCTCTTGATTTGGTACGCCACTGGGAGTTCCTGGGCGGACTACCTACCGATGATACATTGAAGCCTAATACCACCCTGGAGATGGATGAGAATGGAGTCGATTACCGGAAACTGCTTCGCCGACGGAGCAGCCTCGTTGTTGCTGACATGCCGGTGCACCGAGCAGATATCTTGCAGGAAGCCACCGTTTCTGAAATCACTCCTGGGGAGAAGCCGAAGAAAGAAGAACAGAAGCCCAAAGCGAAGCCACCTCCTACGATGTTTCATGAGCCTGATGCCAATTCGTTGCTGGACAGCTTTGGGTTCTAGGTTAGAGACTTATTTGCGTGGACACTGTACTATTTCCTGGATATCTATACACCCAGTTACTATCAAGTGAGAGCCGGGGACCTGGGAAACATATAATGTAGAGTCTCTCACGTCCAAACAGTTAAATAATAGTGTAGTATATCACTCCCATGGTTCACGTGACTTGAATGACTTGGTAAGGTCCAGGTGTGTAGGAGTTTCACAGAATACAACGTTACACAATATATTTCCTCATTTTCATTTTTGATCTTGCCTAAGGAGAACTCGGCCAAGGATAACAACTCCAGCAAGTGGATGGATGTTATGGATGTTATTTCCACAGTATGGACCTTGATCCTTACGGATTATAATGTCAGTCACAGTCTACCAATTAGCTTGACAGAGAAAGCATGTTATTATTATGATTCGATCTCGCCAAGATTCTGTACTATGCACACATTATACGAAGTACAACAAACGTCTGTGCGATGCCCATCCTACCCCTCACACAGTGATCAATAATACCCAGTCATTGCAAGGACAATGCTACACAGAAGCGGTCAAAATACGTGGAGATGAATACAGTTTGAAGCGATGCAGAGTGGAAAAAAAATATATCAGCAGAAGGTTTCGGCTTACAATTGTGCTAAACGTAATTGATCTCACTGGTTGCACTACAGCGTAGCGCGCTTTAGCTACCCCAGCGGCCCCAGGTGGCTGTAGCTGGTCTCCAGATAGTCTGATGGGTTTGCCTATCCTAGTGCGATCGGCGCTACCAATCCGCGCTATTGTCTCCCGATCGCGCTGATCCTTCAGCTCGCCTCCCAACATCTAGTGAACGATGGAGACTTGGGCCGAGGGTGAGGTCCCTCTTGCACCAATGGCCTAGTTCGCCTTGATCTGCCGATCGGGAAACCATGCAGACTTTCCTGCAGACTCTCCTGCAGACTGAACTTGAGACCTGATGCTATAAGACTTCCCCCGCCCGTTGGGAGCTTGAAGCTCTTCTTTTCCCTTTTGACTTCAAATCTTAGTTTTTGTATACTATAGTGATATCCCCCCCAGACTTTTTTTTTTTCAGCGACAATGCCTACCAAAATCCCAGGACCGCCCGGAATTCCACTCTTGGGTAATATTTTCGATGTCAACCCTAATGAGACGTGGAACTCGCTCAGCAAGTTGGCCAAGCAATTTGGTATGCAACCCAACCCGTCCATAGACACGAGCAACAACCAGTCCTAACGAGTAATCACTAATTTTTTAGGCTCCATTTTCAAGATTAATGTACTCGGTCATGAGCTCGTCTTCATTGGCAGTGTCGCTCTTTTGGAAGAAGTTTGCGACCAGACCCGATTCCGCAAGTGTGTGACTGGACCAGTAGTCGCCATCCGATATACCGTTCACGACAGTCTATTCACGGCATACGATGACGAGAAGAGCTGGGGTATCGCACATCGGATCATGATGCCTCATCTTACGCAATCTGCGACCGACAACCTCTTCGGCGACATGGCGGAGGTCATCCCAGACTTGACTAAGAAATGGAGCGCAGGAAACAAGACACGCACTCTGCTCACCAAAGACCTAGACCGTCTCCTGCTTGCATCCTGCATGCAATGCTTCTTCAACCAGCGCGTGCACGTGCTCGAAGGTGCTGAACCACCTATGCTCAGCGCTATGGACGGCGCCACCATGGAGGCGATGAAGCGACCAAACCGCCCCAAGCTACTGAACTTGTTATATCAGCGCCGATTCGACAAAGACACGAAGACCTTGCGCGATTTCTCTGCGCAGGTAATCAAGACCCGAAGAGAGCAGCCAGAGACTGCCCGCAAGGACATCCTGGATGCGATGCTGAACGGCGCTGACCCGGAGAGCGGCGAGAAGCTCACCGAGTCGCAGGTTATCGACGAGATCATCACGATCTTCATCGGTGCCGCCACAGCACCCAACCTCGTCTCCTACGCCCTGTACTACCTGATGGAGAATCCGACTGAGATCACCAAGGCGCATGAGGAGATCGACCGTGTGGTCGGTGACGGTAATATCGGGCTGGAGCACCTGAAGAGTCTTAATTACGTCGAGGCCATTCTGCGCGAGTCGATCCGTCTGTCTGCCACCGCGCCCGGCTTCAACATCGAGCCTATTCCGTCTAATAATAAGAGCCCTATCCTTCTTGGCGGTGGCGAGTACCAAATTGCTCACAACCAGCCCATGATCGCGGTCTTGAGCCAGGTCAACCGCGACCCTGCTGTCTTCGAGGACCCTGAAGCCTTCAAGCCTGAGCGTGTTCTCGGTGAGAAGTGGGATCAGCTCCCTGCTGCTGCGAAGAAGGGCTTCGGCAACGGCAAGCGCGAGTGCATTGGCAAGCTCTGGGCTTGGCGGTGGTCGTTCTTTACTCTCGCTAGCATTCTCAAGGAGACCACGTTTGAGCTGGCGGACCCCAATTACAAGCTTGAATCGAACGGTGCTTTCAGTATCAAGCCTCTTGAATTCTACGGTCTTGTTAGCGCACGGAAGTAATCTTGGAATTGATATTTGTTTGGTTGGATTGGGTCAGCGTCAGTAATTAATTTGTCGATATACTCAAACATTATTATGAAAGGATTGCAAAATGGACGAGCTTAACACTTTTTTTTTATTACAATTATTTCTATCTTCAATTCTGAAACATGGGTGGTTCCTGAAGATGAGCTCATGGTGTGTGGCGGCTACGTAGTGGGTGATGGCGTATACAATCACTCACGTCACCCACGTTAACGCCACGCGAACATCTGAAAATCTCCAAACTAAAACTTCGAGTAAATACAAGGCCTAGATTTCTACAATGGAAAAGAAGTAATTGAAAGAATGTGTTATATTGTATAAGGCAAAAAAGGACCAGCCTAGAAGTCTCCATATTGACATAGAAGCAGAAACCATTCCAGCTGGGTATAGACCATCCTTCGAAACAGAATGATCCAAGAGTCTATCTTCAAAATCATATCAAATCGAAATATCAAATCTCAAAGAAAAATAAAAATCTAGTAGTCAATGGTGACAGCCAGACGAGCAGGACCAGCGCCCAAGTTGGCACCAATGCCACCGATAGGAGTCTCAGCAGAGGTATAAGCGTTATCGACGATACCGGCATCCTTGGTAATAGAAGAGCAAACAGAGCCAAGGGCGTCACAGATCTTCATACCGGAGATGGACATGCCGGCATTCTGTGCAGAGATACAAGAGACATCGAATCCAGACCAGCCACTGTTGGTAGTGGAGCCGAAGTCGAACTCGCCCCAGGTGGAGGCGTAGCCACCGTAGGTATCAGTGGGGATGGAGGAACCTGCAGCGGCGGCCCAGCCACCATTGGTGTCCTCATCGAAGGCAACGTACTTGGTCTCGCCGGGGGCAAGAGTGAAGGTCTCGCAGGCGTTGCCGAACCAGCCTGTCATCTTGCCATCGGGACCGTACTTGTTGAAGACGGCAACGGTCCAGTCTTCGGTGTTGGAGCCGGTGAACTGCGCAACGTACTTGTAGTTGGGAGCGGAGGCGGCGTCAATGCTGATGATGTTGCTGCCGTAGGGGCTGCCCACGTTGCCGGAGTAGGTTTCACCAGAGCCCGAGGAGCTGGTGGTGCCACCGAAGCCAGCGGTGGAGTATGAGCCGCTGGAAGGGGTAGAGGTCCAGTCACTGCCGGAGCTGGAGCCTGTTGCGGCGGCCTGGCGGCGCTCAAAGGTAGAGGGTCTGGCCAGAGTGCTGCCAGTGAGGGCTGCGAGCAGAATGAGAGACTTGGCGAACTGCATTGTGGATTTTGTTGTGGTATTCTTTTTGAAAAAAAAAATCACAAAAGATAAAATATCAATCAAGATATAAAAGAGTGTTATATGTAGTTGGATTGCAACGACAGACAGTTTATAAAAGAATGAATGGTGAAACCAAAAGGAGTGTGGTTGTTTGAAAGAAAGAAATCAGACTGGGATCAAGGCAACTATATATACCTTTGAAAGCGACAAAATCTTCTTCCGCCACGCATTGAGTCGAGACCAAAAGAACCGTAAAGTTCCGGGTACCTGTTTCCACCGAAGTGAGCCAGGGCGTGCGTACGTCAGATCATTGGAAGAAAGGATTACATGGATGATTCCACAAAGATCCAGGCCCTGGGACAATCCTCTTTGTGGATATTGCCCCAATGGTGGCTGAAGGTTAACAACGCCATGAATGGAATGGAATCCGATCCATGGTTTAAACAGTCAAAACAGCAAAACAGTCTGATTGGGTCCATCTGTGTAGATTCAACGTAAAACCATGGAAGTCTCATGTAAATCCAGCGTAATACCAAACTAGATAGACCAATTATGATTGGTTGAACCACATTCAATCTATAGATTTGGTTATGTCCCATGGACATGTCCCCGGAGTAAGGTCGGTGAACGACCTCGATTGAGGACGCGAATGCAAATCTGTATTGATCTCCAACTATATAAGGATACCCCTAATGTGGATCTAGGGTCAGATCGTTTTAGTCCGGGACTAAAGGTATCGGAATTGTCAGGAACTATCCCAAATTATAACTCTGGCCATTGTCGAGATGTACAACAGTCACATACTACTTTTTCCCCTGGTGCTAGGACAATCCTATCACTCTCCGAGAGGTCTCCGAACTTGCTTGATAGAATTTCGTAGAATGTTGTGTGATCCGTGGACGATGACGCTGTGGTCCAGAAAAAGATTTAAGGTAGTGCGATTGGCTAAAGATATAGACAAGTCGACCAATCATAGTACAATTTACAGTCTTGGCAAAACAAAGTTGTTCTATAACCAATCATCGCTGATACTCTTTTTTTCTATCTGCTTTACTAGTTGTTCCTTGATGTTCCTTGAATTTTCTTCATGCGGCGCAAAATGTGTCCTTTGGAAAAGATTTAGTCTTGGCTCCGGCTTCACATGGAAGCCATCAAATCCAGCTCCATTATCTTCCAACGGCTTAGATTTCCCTGGATCGTTTGATTGTTTCTATTATTCCGCCACGTTCCACGTTCCACTGAAGATCCTATGCCCCAGCCCTAAGCCAAGAAGAGGCGGATTCGGGGTAATGAACGCCTCAACTTTTGCAGAGTGAACCTTAGAAAGCCGGATTCCTTGAGATTCAGGTTGCAATCGCTCAAGTGCGGAAACAAGCCCTGGCCTGTTGTATTAGGTTCATTGTTTTCGATATTTGAACAGAGATTTAAATAGAGATTGGTCTTTTATTGAGCGCCAAAACGGTCGAAAAGGTTAAACGCTGCACAGAACAAAGACCACTGTGATTATCAGTGCGAGACTCGGCCAAAATTGTGAGTTTCTAAGACAAAAGACAAGTCTAGAAATAGTAAATAGCCTATAATGAGGTTGGCTGAGCTCTGCCATGTATTTACGGTGATGTTGGCATATTCCAATTTTATTTCGTTCGCATCTCCCGCAATGACAGAGAGCCACAAGGTATTTACCATATGCCAGGGTCAATGCTTCATCCTATATCCATACTGTATAGTCTTAATATAGAACATTAAACGAAAAGAAAACAAGGTAGCTTCTCTTTGATTGAACGTGCCATCCTTAGTGCTGGGGCCATGCTAATCTTCTCTGTATATTTTCATTTGGCCATATGCCCCGAAGGGTGAAATGTCTATTCGTTCTGTGCGATATAGCCTCACATTTCGGTAGAAAATTACCACCTGCCTGCATGTGCCATCGATAGATTCTCATAAGAAAAGGCCCGCTGATTCTCTCACATCTCACTATCGATATAACTCCCGGCCGCGGCTAACGTGGCGTAGTAAAGATCTGTTTCGGCGCAGATAACCATTCTACCTTTTCCAGCGAAGTTGAAATTCGCCGTACCAGAACCAAGATAAATCTTGCCAATGAGCTTGCCAGATGGATTCCAGACATGAACACCGTCGCCACAGCCAGCATACACATTTCCCCATGAATCGCAGTGGATTCCTTTTTGAGATATTAGCCTAGATATCATTTAAGTACAGCTCGCTTGACTTACCATCAGGTGCACCCGAGTGAACAAAGGCAAAAGTCTTGCGATTTTCGAGTGTGCCGTCAGATTTCACATCAAATCGGTAGCTGTGGTACACATAATCAGCTTCAAGTCCAGACAAGGGAACACTAGAACCAATATCCCATACACAGAAGCAGGGCGCGTGAAGTCGAGACCGAAAAAGCCGCTATCGATTCCGGTATCGGCGACATATGCGTACTTGCCATCCGGAGAGAAAGTGAAGCCTGCTGTAATATCAGTCGCACTTCCCTTTTTGAGCCTATACACATTCTTCGTCTCCTACCGTTGGGATGGTCAAATCCATCCGCGACAACTGTCACGGCACCTGTCTCGGGGTTCATCCGGTAGACTTGATCCTGCAGACCGGGTGCAGGGCGGAAGTCCTGTGCATAGCCATAGATCGTGTCTGTGAAGTAGATATCTTTATTTGTCGGGTGGATGGCCACATCATTCAGGGAGTTGAATTGTCGGCCGAAGTAGTTGTTAAGGATAACTATGGATGGACTCTGTGAGCCCCTGAAATCCAAAGAGCTACATGTAGTATGTACTGACCTGTAGTGTTATATGGAGTTTTCGGGTTCATAACCCACAGAGCAGGCGGTTCATTATCACCTTGACCCTCACCGGCGAATATGATTTCTCCCCGGTAATTGGTAGCTCCTAGACCACAGTCAGCTATCTTTAAATTCTAAAAAAAAAAGAGCTGATTGCCTACCATTTGGATTGAGAATCATTGGCGATGAAAGAACGGTGGTCACATCAACAAGGCCCACAGCATCTGACTTGTCCGAGACAGCAGCAGCATCCGCAAGGGAGATCTTCTCAATAATAGCCGACTGCTTAAGGCCGGTGCTGGCGTTCTTAGCGCCTGCATTTTGGACAAAAAACACCTCGTCCGTTTCCTTAGACCTAGAAGCTAGAGTCAGACTCTGATATATTCTAAGCTTGTACTTTATTTGTGTGTTGAGTACATACCATACAACCGCCTCATGGAACAGAGGGTCCTTTGGGGAGTGCGCGATCCGGGTCAAAGTTGGAGCTTTTCCAATGATCTTCAGAAATTCCTCGTCGTACACATGGAAAGGTTGCTTGGCGAGACTCTCTCCTGTTGACCCTGGAGGCACAAATAGCTATGCATTGATCAGTAAGAGGTGCTACTGGAGACTGTAAATGAGGAATCCCATACACTCTTCGCATTGAATTCGGTTGGGGGCTGAGTCGTATCGAGAATATTAAAGGCTCTTTGGTCAATCAACTGTGCTTGAGCAGGGATCTTGCTCGAGCTGACTGGTGCTAGAAAGGACCCTAAAAGCAACAGCGTAGCTAGCAAGGAAAATTGGGAAGTCATCTTTGAGATAGTGCTAGATAAAACAATCCTCCGAGGAAGGGGAGATCAGGCATTTATTCCAGGGGGCTGGGAAAGTGGGGACATAGATCTGTCATGCTTATCTCCAGAAACAATACAGAAATTCTCCGGAACTTTTAGTCAAAGCTATGGCGTGTGTCAATTCTCGGAGTTAGCCCGACAATCTACGTCGTTCGGCCCGATCCATTCCCCGCTCATCGACGTCAGCGCCGGAGTACATGTTGCCAAACACTTCAAGGTCCGCAGATTAATCTGTAGTTTAATGAAGAGTTATATAGAGCTCTGGCTTTTCCTTCTTTTATCAGTTTTATTATGTAAGCAAGAGAGAACGGAGGTCACAAGTAGCAGATAGTTACAGATTGAAGAAACACACTCCTACACCTCTGAGATCGTTTCCTGGACGGTGGTCCCAGTTACCTTTGTATGATTCAGTCGGTATCACGTGGACTTACGAGTACTGAATCGACCCGTATGCCTGAGAGCATATACGCTAGAGCGTTCCCGTCTTCAATATATACTACCCAGTCTTTGTCTAGTCCCTTTTTCTCTTCCTTTCTAGATGTACAAAGTACCATAGTACAATCTTGAGAGCACAGATCTACACTTTGCCAATTGTGAAGTCATTTTAAAACGTTAAAACTCGACTGTATTTTTACTAAATGAAAACAGCCTCTGTTAATTATTAAAGAAAAACAATCTTTATAACCTGACGCCTAAACTTTTATACATTAGGCCTTTCGCTTCGTTTATACTTGCAAGGATAAATATTCTATTATCCGTCGAAAAAGGGATACCGAACCTAGATACAGCCATTACTATCAGTATTATTATTATTATATATTTTGATAAAGCGGTATAAGGAAAGTGTTCTCCTTAGGATAACTTCCGAATAACCTTTACAATCTGAGGCTTTCACTTTGATGCCGGATCTTTATGTTAAAGTTGTACTCCATAGAATTCAGCGTCTTCGCTAGTCCTCTCGGACTAAAGCCGAAGCAATTACACGTTACAGACTGTAATTTCTACCTAGTACGCAATTATTAAATAGGATCTTTATTCAAGTTAATACAGCTTTCATTATTATGCCATGTTCCTGGTCCTGTACTTCAATTGGAGTGGATCGAAAAAATTTCATACTTGCCAACGGAAAAGGCCACTAGTAAGCCCGTGTTTTCCTTGCCTATTTGCCCTTTTTTTGATGATTTTGTGCGATTTTCAGTTCCTTCAGTTTCGCGATTGAAAAAGGAATAGATTCCTTGGAGAAAATGACACCTCCATCTCGTGGATAATCGCTCAAGATACAACCCCCTTGGGCAAACTGGGACGATAATCGGGAGATGTTAGACTGTCGAGTGACTTTGTATCGTTTCAAAGGTGCCCAGTACCCACGGTTGCCGCACCCATTCTCAGCGCCATTCTTTGTGCCCCCACAATAAAGATATGGAATCAAGAGCTTTGGCTGGATCTGAATGGTCCACTTCGCTTTCACGACTTTTGTTTGTGGGCAAGAGGGGCATTTTACTTCTATCTCATCCGGGAGGGTTCCCCGCTCTGCCTCAGTACGGAGGAGCCAAGTACTCGGCTTTTGAGCTCGCCGGGCCTCGGCTTTGTCAAGAGCTTGCTTGCTCACTCGACCCACGTTTGCTGCAGACCAACACACCTGGTTATGAAAAGGTTTGAGGGAAGCGTATGAAAACCCACAGCCAGGGTTTCCGCAGCCGCCTGCAACTGCCCACGATACATAACGACTAGGTTCGTACTTAGACCAGTATGGAAATGGATCATCCAGGACTTGTTGATCACAACCACTGCATCTTCTTGGGAGAATATCGTAGGGAGCCTCACGAAAAATGAGCAATTCGCCCATATGCGGCCGCCGATCCCGGGAGATCATTCTGCCGTATGCAAAAAGCACCGACATAGCGAGGTTGGCAATTCCCAATGTATTTGGAGTATCGTCCCACTCTGGAACAAAAGTATGGAGTAAATCGTGGGCCCTTTCTAGATCTTCGCGAGAATCCAATGGCCTTGTACTAAATTTGAGACCAGGCTGGTCGTGGATGAGCGCTGTTATTTCCGTCGGCAGATCTTGCCACTCGTTGGAATCTTCTATGTCGTTCATTGTGCTCAAGGAAGATTCAACTCTTTCGGCAGTCAGTACATTGGGCACTACCGGAAAACCAGATCCATCCATAATTCCTTTCAGTGCCCTCCAGAAAGAACTGATTTTCTGGAGGCGGCGGTGGCGCTATCAAGTGTTAGAAACGAAGATATTCTAGTTAATAACTCAATTGTTGCGTAATAATACCTGGATCTTGTCTATAGCGCCAATCTCAGTTGTTTCACTTGAATCCTCAGATTCCCTAAGAGGCCCATCCGCACAGACTTCGCCGATGGTGAACTGGTTCATGAGCGAAACAATATCATCAAGATTGTTTGGGTCTCGCCCTTGCGGACCGCGGATCCGATGAGACTTTTGCTGCGATAGCACTGCAACGGGGAAAGCACGTTGAAGCTGTGCTGCCGCCTCTCCCTTCCAGCCTTCTCTCTCCATAGTCACTTCACGTGGTACAGTTAGATTCACAGGTAGTCTCGGGCTAAGCTCGTAGAACTGGGCTTCGATATGGATTTGACCAAGCTTTGCGGCAACCTCTAAAGCCAGGTCCTGGGGTCTTCCTTTTTTGCGTCGTAGGTTTTTAGCACAATCTTTGTCACTTTGGATGTAGAAAAAATAGGAAGGGTGTTTCACAAATAGCACAACTCGCTTCATTGCCTTTCTGTTCGAGGTGAGCTCCAAGAACACCTCGATACCGCTGTAGCGGCCCCAAAGCGGCATAACTTCAAAGTTCTGAAACCAACCACGTTTCTTCGAAGTGCCCAGCAGACGCTTTCGAACAGCCGATCCCCAGCATATTACCACAACTGCTCGCATATTGTCCTACACCTCCCTCAAGAATCTCTCATGAATATGCCAGAGGTCCTCGGGACAAACGCTCTCGACATTTTGGCTAAGGTCTCGTCTGGCAACTTGGTCGACAAATAATGTATTTCCGGGGTTGAATCCGGCTCGTTCCATTTAAGATATTGTCGCTTTTGACAGATCAAATGTCTTTTTGAGACAAGGATCTTTGACTGAGAAAGTGGGGTTAAACAGAATGCAAGCCACTGAGGCAGCTAACGAGCCGCTTGGACGAACAATGTACTCTTCGGGTCTTTCGACATTTTTAGTCCTCCACCAGGTGATGTCATCGTTCACGAGCCGCTGATGTGCAGAATCGATGTCTCAATAACATCTATTAGCTAGATTTCAATGCATGTTGGTCTAGCTGAATCCATCACGGGCGCTCTTAGGATAGATACTCACCTGGAAGGGCTTGCTCAAAGTCGCGCATGAGTGCAATTACTCGATTCACTAGCGACTGGTCTTCTGGGAGTAAGCATCGTTGAGGGTCGGAAACAAAAAGCCCCCCGAACAAATGAAATGTCTCCGGCTGGGGCTCCATGTTGAGAGGGTGTAGAGGTGAGAAAGTGTGTCGATTGCAAGAAATAGCAAAGAGAAACCGCAGTCCACTAGTTCTGCAAGCTGACAGAAAAACGGAGGAGGACGGAAAACAAAGGGAGAGGAGGGAGCCAAAATGTGTAATCCTGTGCTCCGCTTCTAAAGTTATGATGCTACCTAGGTACTCTTGGTGATTACATAGATCTGCAGGATCAGGTCTACCAGTTGAACCAACCTTGAGACAGGTGCTGTGATAGTGTCGCGGATTGCTTTGACCCAACTGTAGATCAAGAATCTGTACAGGCTCGAAAAGGAAAGTGCGACTAACATTACAGCAGGCCGGCTTCCGCATGACCCATTTTGGTTCGGATGTTGGTTCTGCCGAAGTCTAGGTTTCGGTGATACTTAGAATTATATTACCTACCAGTTCTTGTTTTATAGAAAGAGTGTGTATTAAATTCGAGAATTCTAAGTATAGGGAGAGGAAGGGAAAGAAGAGAGGAAATAGAAGGTAAACCAAATTGGGAAACCAGTGGCAATTGGCCGAACCTTTTTGGCGGAGAAGATATGTCCAACTGTGGATTATCACATTCATCAACTGCCCGGGTGGTCTAGTGGGTAAGCAGCTATTAAGTTCCTCAACAACCAAGTTCATTTCACTAACATGTATACAGTATGATTCGCGCTTAGGGTTCACCCAAAGCATTATTGCGCGAGGTCCCCGGTTCAATCCCGGGCTCGGGCCCATCTTTTTCATTCTTTTTTTAATTTACAAAGATATATATAGCCGTCTTACCAGCCCACCCCAACATGTTGGGGTGGGTCTGTCCCATATAACGGAACTTTCCCAGTAAACGGAAATTGTAAAAATTAGGTATCTTTTGTATAGGATGCTCATAAAAGGTACATGTATAAGTATTTTACTCTCTTAACCCCCTAACTATTTAAAGCAATAATAAGCTAAGGAATAAGTAAGTAAAGTCTAGTCTAATTGATTTAGTATTAAGATTAACCTTAGATATCTCTTATAGAGGATTTATGGTCGTTTTTAAAAAAAACCATGTATGTAGAAATATAAATCTTCGATACTTATGGAGTACTGAAAATTTCTTCCTAAGCCTACTGTTAGATAGAAAGGACTTCCTTTACCCTATATATGCCCTACTATACCTTCCCTAATTATTTATAGGGATCAAGATAATTCCTATTATACTTATGCCATATTTATGTACCTTTTATATAGACACAACATATAAAAGATACCATAAATTCCGTTTTGTGAAAAAAATTCCGGATTGTGGGACGCACCTTCAGATTCTAGATCGTTACACTAACTAGTTAACTATGTTTGTTTATTAATATCAAATAAATTTACTCGTTTTCTTGATTAGGAGAATCGAACTAAAATGAATAACTGTAGGATATAGCCGTGCTACCGCACCCATACCTGAAAAAGGTATGGGATATATTTTCTACCAGGAGTTACCGCCTTGGAGATATTTGCACTGTTTGATTGTTTGGTTTTAACAGGACGATCCTATCTAGCCCTCTTTTTCTTCCTTTTATTTTACTTTTGTACTTACTAGTATTCTTGTTGATACACTCTTGCTTAAAGGATAGCTAATAACATATAACCTCTTTTACACTCCTACCTCATCAATCGCCCGGGTGGTCTAGTGGGTAAGCAACTCTTCAGTTCCTCAACAACCAAGTTCATTTCACTAATATGTATACAGTATGATTCGCGCTTAGGGTTCACCCAAAGCATTATTGCGCGAGGTCCCCGGTTCAATCCCGGGCTCGGGCCCATCTTTTTCGTTCATTTTTTAATGAACTATTTTACAAAGAGATATATATATATATCCCTACAGTTATTTATTTTAGTTCGATTCTCCTAATCAAGAAAACGAGTAAATTTATTTAATATTAATAAATAAATATAACTAGTTAGTTAGTTAACTAGTTAGTGTAACGATCCAGAACCTGAAGGATATATTTTCTACCAGGAGTTACCGCCTTAGAGATACTGTACTGTTTGATTGTTTGGTTTTAACAGGACCCCACAAACGATCCTATATAGCCTCTTTTACACTCCTAACTCCTCATCAATCGCCCGGGTGGTCTAGTGGGTAAGCAGCTATTCAGTTCCGCAATAACCAGGTTCATTTCACTAACATATACACAGTATGATTCGCGCTTAGGGTTCACCCAAAGCATTATTGCGCGAGGTCCCCGGTTCAATCCCGGGCTCGGGCCATTTCCTTTTTGCCTAACAAAATTCTTTTTAACTTTGCTAATAACTAATACTAAATATGTTATGTTATTTATACCTTTCGCGACAGCTCGGCGAGGAAAGACAGCTAATGCATATTTTGAAAGATTACTGTACCTAAAATCGGTGGCGTGTGCATTAGCGTCCTGTCTCGCCCGAGCTGTCGTGGCAGGGTATATGTTGTATGTACTCCATACTGCTATTTCTCTTAGTGCGATTCGAGGGCTAATTAGAAAAAAAAAAAAATAAGAACCAAAACCCCACGAGTCAGCCTTTTTTGTTTCCAAAATTTGAAAGGCCCTTATTTTGACACCTATAGACCCTGCCTACTAGTTCCTCTATAGGCTCAATTTGTTTACTCCTCATTTTCAAAGTTAAATGTCTGATATCTGATATCTGAAGTAGCCCATACGGGCCCTCCGTCCGCAGAAATGGATCCTGCCTCAACACCGAAGAAAATTGCGGCCAAACCTAGGTACCCTTCCACGTCTGTTGTCCCAATAGCACAAAATGCCCAGCTGGCCAAGAAAACGCGAAGTGCTGCCCATCAGATGCAGACTGTTCCCAGTTGTTTGATAAAACACATTGTGCAAACAGCACTCCAAATGTCTACAAGGCCAATGGTTGGTTTTGTTGCGCTGAGGGCACATCAGCTTTCCAGAAAAAGAACGGATTTGTCGGCTGCACAGGTGATATATCCACCTTGGACAATAGTTTGACTCTATTGAAAATTCAGTATCACGGTATGTAATGCTTTGGCAGCTTGAAACTTCATTACAGAGTCGTAAACTCCTTGGACTGGCTTTCTAATCCACTATCTATAGCTACTACCTCAACACACACACCCTCGCCATCGTCAACAATACCTAGTACAATACTCAATACCACAACCGCTACTAGTCCTGCACAGTCCTCCCTCTATGGGAGTATAATGGGTGATTCGTCCTCGGTGTCATCCAATACCTGGGTCATTGCTGGCAGCATTGTTGGTGGAGTAGTGACCATCCTGGCCGGCCTACTCTGGTTCCTACTCCGTCGCCAAAACAAAACAAACAAGAGCATAGGAACACCTACGGACCACACCCCTCTAATTTCCAGTACTCCCACATCGAGTGTGTCTGGATCGAAGATCATTGAGAACTAGGATAAGGACCCCGAATGCCCACAAGAGCTCGCAGGTCGAGTCCACGAGGCCATCGCAAGCGACATATTGGCGATGGCGTGTATGGTGCCTGGGTGGAGTAAAAGGGGTGAGAGAAAATCCCATTCTCTCTCACCCCTTTTATTTTACAAACTATTTTCACTTTTGCGTATGTCAAGATAACAGGCCACTTCTACGATATCACCTAACAAGAATATTTGGCCCCTTATGAGGCCTTGTGATCGATTTTTGTTGGATTTATTTTACACTTGGATTTCTATAGACGGTTTAGTGATTTAAGACAAGTGCAAGTACGGTTAGATTGATCTATACAATGAGGTATCTGTGAATGCGTGTGCATATAGCACTTACCACGAGGTCGGATTCTCCCAGGAAAATGCTTTCTCGAGCTGTTCGGCAACCATATCTCCAGTGAAGGGATCACTGTCTTCAGATAGAGTGGCGATCGCGCTGTCGAGGACAGGCTGAAAAGTCCAGCAACTATCATAGAATGGAGTGTCACTGACGCTATATGAAGCCTCAATGTATTGAGACATTAGCTGAGAAAGCTCTCTAAGCCCTTGGAGCACCCTAGAGCGCCCACTGGGGTTAACTCGAAGCTTTGCGATCTGAGACTGTAGAACGAAAAGGAAGTAATCTCGGTCCGTCGCGTAAGTAGAACCAACAGTAGCTGGAGACATAGTGAAGGGTTGGTGAGAGTATTAGAAGGTTAGTATACTGGATCTATAGGATTGTGTTAGATAGACTGTTACTTGGCGAGGAGATATTGAGATAAAATCGAAGCTATTTATGTGGGTTGAGTAGTCGACTCCGAATATTTGACAAAGCACAGCTCAGAAAAGTGGAAAAATAGAAGTATAAAAGATCCTTTGTTTATATCTTATCTTCTTAGTCCACATATTTCAACACAATGACTATCGAAGAAGAAAGAAGAAAGAGGAAAGAAGAAGAAGAAGAAGAAGAAGAAGAAGAAGAAGAAGAAGAAGAAGAAGGGACCAGACAAATATGGAAAATCAAAATCGGTCCGCTGGTTCTTACATCTCACTGTCGACATAACTCCCAGCCGCAGCTAAAGTGGCGTAGTAAGATCTGTTTCGGCGCATATACCATTCCATGTACATTTTCCCACGAGGTTGAAATTCGCCGTACCAGATCCAAGGTAGATCTTGCCGATGGGAATACCGGATGAATTCCAGACATAGACAGCGTCGCCCACAACTAGGATATACGTTACCCCATGAATCGCAGTGGATTCCTTTCAGGATTTTAGCCTCAAAATCACCAATTACGGTTTGCTTGACTTTCATCGGGGGCGCCAAAGTAAACGAAGGCAGAAGTCTTTCGATCTTAGCTACATGATACATATGTCTCTCTTGACTATTATTTATAACTGATACATAGGATACTACTATCCGTGCTAAGCTTGATATCGACAGATCAGCTATAGGAGATTTTATAGGTTAGTCTTACTACATCTTTTTCAATATCACAAGTCAAGTTCACACTATAGTTCTTCCTCAACTTACGTCTGTCTATACGTGATTTCAGTATTCACAATTATTATAAAATTCTTAATCAACTTCGATATATTTATAACAATCCAAATAAGACTTCAGAAGCAAAAAACTGTCTCCTTTTAATAAAGCAGGATATCGACTCACTCGCCGCTTATACCGCTTAGTTTGAAATATAAACAGCCCTTGAGGTTTTACTGTATTCGCAAAATAGTTGATAGAAAAAATAGATTCAAAAAAAGATGGGCCCGAGCCCGGGATTGAACCGGGGACCTCGCGCAATAATGCTTTGGGTGAACCCTAAGCGCGAATCATACTGTGTATATGTTAGTGAAATGAACCTGGTTGTGGAGGAACTGAATATCTGCTTACCCACTAGACCACCCGGGCGATTGATGAGGAGTAAGGAGTGTAAAAGAGGCTATATGTTACTGGCCATCCCTTAAGCAAGAGTGTATATCAACAAGAATACTAGTAAGTACAAAAAGTAAAATAAAAGGAAGAAAAAGAGGGCTAGATAGGATCGTTTGTGGGGTCCTATTAAAACCAAACAATCAAACAGTGCAAATATCTCTAAGGCGGTAACTCCTGGTAGAAAATATATCCTTCAGATTCCGGATCGTTATAATCGTGCCACCGCCTTTCACCACCACCTACCCGGTGTTGGTGGGGCCCCACCGGATCCCCGATTTTCAATTAACAATGCATTGAATATACTATTTACAAATAACCACCACGAGTATCTATATACCCATTTCCACCATTACTACCTCTTCCCGCTATTGATGCTTTATACTCAGCCTCAGCTAAATCCCTTACCTCTTGCGCCTACTGTTGAGCTTCTAATTCCTTGGCTTACTTGGTATACTTCCTCTGGAGCTTATTGGTAGATATAGGGGATAGGACCGAAGTTGAAGCTCTAAGAATCGATTTCCTGCTTCTCGGTTGATTCCTAGCTTTCTGGTGGGTAGACTTCGGCACAACCCACTCTAACCCGGACCCAACCCAACCTAACCCAACCCAAAATGGGTTTTGGGTCCATTGCTTCGACCTAACGATAGGTTTTAGGTTATAGCTTATAACCCAAAACCTATTGGGTAACCTATTGGGGCCCCAATATAGTGTAAACTAGACAAACAGACTTCTAGCGTGTAACTACATAATTAATATATTTTTTGCTTATAATATTGAGTATTTTACTTATAGCGCTCTTCTAGAAAAAATAGAGAATAAATCAAATAATTAAACCAGGATATATTTCTCTAATATTGCTCAAAATCCTTATCTACCCTACTCTTACGCTTCCTCCCTAAGGCCCGTCTCTAAGTTATAGTCTCTGGTAACTCTGGCTCTGTTACCTCTATATAGACTGCGACATCGCCCGTCTATAGGTACCTAGGAGGTGCCTAAGGCCCGTCCACGGTAGGCCTTGGGCTATTTGGATTTTCGAGTGCCCGTCTATAACGCCCAAGGCCCACAGGTATACCCACGGCGGGTATACCCACGATACCCACCATTGTATAAAGTCACCTAAAATAGATGTATAACTCGCTGACTTTGTATAATAAATAACTGTTATTTACACCTATTTTACCAACTCTATATAAAATAGCAGTTTTAATCTACAATATCTATAAATTTTACTGAAATATCTATATATATAAGAAACTAGTATATATATAATACGAATTAGAATAAACTTTTAATCGAAATATATTATATTGTGTGGTATTTTTATTAACTTATCAAATTATACTGTAACAGCTTAAAGATATATATTTAAGTCAGTGGTATATACCTAGTATTTTCTATAAGTAAAATACTACTTATAGATTCTACTTTATCTCTTACTCTAGTATATTTCTTATAGGTAGATCGAAAGATAATTAGTATAATTCTTATTTTATAAGCTTATATCACTAAATTCTGTCAATTATATCACTTAAAGACTTATATTATTATTCTAGGAGTTTTAAATCCTTCGATTGTAACTTAAGATAGGCGTTTAGGTATATTCCTATAGGCGTACCTACGGGTGTACCCACGGGTATACCTATAGACAAAGACACTTATAGCTAATCAGCTTATAATATATAGTGGGTCTACACTCAATTTACGATCTATTAGATCTATATAAAGCACCCCTTTTACTAGTAATCCTCGTTTTACACAGTCGTAAGTTACCTATTGTAAGTTCAGATCACTCACTCTCCTATAGTCGTTATATTATCCCTTATATTATATTAACTATATCCTAACCTAGTACCTATACCGTAGGGCCTTCTTTACTTTCTCCGAGCTCCTAACTAGACCTCTCCTACGTTACCGATATATTTAATCCTAACCTTAATCTAAATATTAATCCTAGTCTCTTTAACAGCCAATAGACTTCTATCTCACTGATAGAGTCCGAGTTCACTTAACCGGCTATTCTTGATTGCTCTCTTAAACGCGTCGGCCCCGATCGGAGAAAGTAGTTTATCCTCTACGACGCGATAAACAACGCGTCTAAAGTAAAGTTTATCGAGTGGTAGCGTACTACAGTACGCGGCAGCAGTACTAAGATATAACAAAGGCTACGATAGGATACAAAATATATATCAGATATCTAGGAGAACTTCGACTAGGTAGTATATTATATTATAGGCGAACCTTTAGTTATATATCGGACGTATAGGGTTATATTACCTTATCTAAGTATAAAGCAAAGCGGTACTAATACACTTAAGCGGTATCTAGCCTTAGGTAAATACTAAAAGGGGGTGGTAAAAGCAAGGCTATATAACAGTCGATTAAGGAGACTATACAGTATATACCGGTAAGTCTTATATTATTATACCCTTTAAGATAACTAATATATTATATATTAGGCACTGGAGTTATCTTATAACTCAAAATTCTTAAATAATAAATAGGAAAGAGAGTAGATTGAATATCTTACTAGTCTAAACCTCCCTTTCCGGATACTTAAGAGGAAGTAATTTACTTCCTTAATTCGAATAGTATAAAAGGCTCTAGCTGAACCCACTTTACTCTATCCTCGCACTGCTTAACGCCGGCTTAAGAAATTGGTCGATAAGGAGTAATATTTAATTCTCGCTACCTTACTATAAGATATAAAGCTCTTAATTACCCTCGACTGCTAGATATCGCCTTTTCAGTAGGTATTTATAGCAATCACAGGGTACTTTATCGACCGAGACTAGAATTACTGTGAGCTCCTACTTAGTTTCGAACCACTTAATAGGGTATATTCTAGTATAAATCTAAGTGAAGTACTTATAGAGATCTTTAAGAAGCTTAATATTACTAATCGTATATTAGCGATTATATCAGATAACGCGTTAAATAATATAACTTTAGTATAGGTAGTTTAAGACTCTATTAACTCCCTTAAACTACCGAATAGCCCGGTGGTTATTCGAATCCCTTATCTTATATATATTATCCAGCTAAGCCTTCGCGAGCTACTTAGATCGGTAAAGGCCGATCCCTAGAACGATACTATAGATCGGAATATTTCTAATATCTAAGCCTAAGCCTAAGCTCGATCACTCTATACTTCACAGAGTGAATAAGTTATTGTATAAACCCTTATTAAGGTAAGTATATCACTTTGTTTATCACTTAATATATCTAATAACTATCTAGATTCGAGGGCTTACTGTGTTTATTAATATAAGCCCCTAACGTCGCGATAATTTCTTCCGTCTCTAGACCAATAGAGTAAAACTTACACCTATCTAAGATATCCGTACCCGCTGGAATTCTACCTTCTTAATACTTCGTTATACGAAACACCTTAGTAAGCCCTACGATAAATACTATAATAATATTAGGACTTAGAAATATAAACTCAGTAAGGTAGAATAGCGGTAGGTTAACTACCTTCTATATATTATAGAGCTGTTCTATCGCTTTACTATAATACTTTCAAAGACTAAAGAGATAACGGTATATTATATTTTTAGTATTTATAACGCCCTCTTTAAGTACTTCGAGGAATTGATTGTATAACTTACTCCGAAAACTATACCTTAGAAGAAGGCGATACTATAAGCTCTCAATACTAGGATAGTAAAGCTTACCTCTTACTATATAAAGACGAAAGAGATCTATAGTAGTCTCTACGCGATTAGAATAATTCTTATACCCTAGTATAAGCTTTACTTCTTTTTAAGTAAGGCGTAGGGTATATCGGAGAACAATATAAACTAGAGTGATCAGTATAAGGAAACGCTTCGCTAGTTTATAGCTCCTTACACCTAAAGATACACTCAGATATAGTCCCTATAAGAAGAGTAACCCCCTAAGCGTTACTCAGCTAGTATAAGTGACCTAGATACCCTCCTTAACCTTCTACCTTATATCTACTCTGATCTATTAACGTCGGAGTACGAACTTACTAGATACCTTAAAAAGCGTACGTTATATTCACTGTTATTACGAGCGGGAATACTAATACCTATAATAGTAAGGAGAAAGGTCGATCCTTTACAATTCTGGAAGGAATATAAGAATAAATTCCTAATTCTTTTAAGTGTTACTCGCGATATTCTCTCTATTCCTATAATAGGCGCTAGAGTTAAACGTCTTTTCAATTTAGTATAGGATATCTACTACTACCGACGTAGGCGGCTAAGTGCGAAGACAGTCTAGGATATTATAATATTCCGGTGTAAAACCTAGTTCGATATTGAAATAGAAGAACTACCCGATAAGGATATATCCTTAGATTCAATATAAGAAGTAGACGAATAGAGAGAGGCGGAGCTTACTACTGATATACCTAAACTAATCAGCGATAGTAAGGATTCTGAGGATAATAATCCTATTAGACTAATCGAGTACGAGTTTATAATAGAGAGTTAGCTTCCTTATCCTTCTATAGTACTAAGTACGCGGAAGCGATAGAGAAGTAAGCTAGTCGACAGCGAAGATAAGAGTAGTCCTTATCTCCCTAATTATAGAGATAAGGGTAGCACTTAAAAGCGCCCTAGTTTAAGAGAAGTAAGGAAGTGTAGTAAACCCAATAATAATCAATTTGTATTATATTAGTGTGAATATATAACTATAATAAATACCTAAGTTATTATACAAAGGCTTCTAAGGCTTATTTCTGACCCCGGTTAAAAAAGTGATAATATATTAAGTTATTGTATAAAGG